TCAGCTTTCTTTGTTGGATAATCTTTTAAATGATTTTCCCACCCATGTTCCATTATCTATTTATACACAAGATGCATCACAGTCTTCCCCACTCTCCCCTCTGCCTTCACTATATCCTATGAGTGACAAATTCTCCAAGCCCTCTTTCCTCATTATGTGTCCAAGAAATTTCAGCTGTTTCTTTCTGAATCTGACTATAAGTGCCCTTTTTGCTACCATTTTCTTTAAATCTCACAGATATGATATGGCTTCCCTCTGTCTTTTCAACAAATATTTTCATGGCTCTGATGAGCATTTTTCCCTGACGCCCCAACGACATGAATTTAAGCATGTTACTAGATTAGCATCTAGGTCCCACCCTTTTACTGTTGAAACAGTTAAATGTAACTGCCACTTCTACTCCAACATTATCTTTTCTTGCACTTCCCAACAGTGTAACTCACTTCCACTTACTTCCTTCTCTGATAACTCAGTTATATGCCATGCGGGATACATGCTTAGGTGATCATGTATCTTTCAATATATGTCTCCAATATTGCAGTGAAGGCTGGACAATTTGCTCGCAAATGAAGAAGAGATGTGAATCAACAGCAGTGTGGTTCTACAGAAGGATGCTGAGAATATCATGGACTGAACATGTGAGCAACACTGAAGTTTTAGAGAAAATAGAGCCAAAAAGGAGACAGCATCAGAAAATGACATTTTGAGGGTACATGATGAGGAAAGAGGGATTGGAGAATTTAACACTCACATACTGAAGGTAGGAGAGACAGAGGAAAGTAGTGCATAACCAACCTAACAAACTCGTGTAAATGGTTGGCTGAACAGGAAGAGGATAGAAAGTTGTGGAGTGCCATTATCACCTAATTTTTGAAGGAACACAGCACACAGAAGAAAAAGATTCTTATATCCAATATGTCTGTGATTTGGGGATGAATCATGCAACCTGTGTAATTAGAACAACTCTTTAAGCAAATAAGCTCAGATGGGTACTTCGTAAGATAGAGGACTTATAGTTGGTGTGTGGCTTCAGTTTGGTTCTGAAAATTCAGTAAATATCTGTTTTTTAAAATGGTGATACCAAATGGTGTTTCAACTATTTTGACTAAGTGTACATGTCCCAATTTCTCGGTACCCACTTGAATTTACTATTTTGATCAAGTTCTTGGATAGGGGAAGTCACTTCAAAAGTACCTGGCATAATGCCAAGATGGTGGTTTTTATTTTTTTACATTTTTTTTTTTTAATTATTTTACCCCAAGCGAAGCAGTAAAAGCTACTAAAGACCCAAGGGTTTACTGAGAGTAAAGAAAACCTCAAGAACGTTATTGAGGAGAAAGGTAAATAAAAGAGCAGGACTGGAAAAGACAGTAAATGATTTATAGTTGACAGGAAAGCAAGAATCTTGATGAGAATTCCTCAGGTGAAAAATGTAAGAGAAGAAACTTAGAAGAGAATTAAGGTTTACGTCTCACAAATCTACAGGGGATACTGTCATCCAAGTAATTTTCTGTGAGTTTTGTACAAGGTTCAAGAGCCACTCGTGCTAGAGTATTACAGAGTAAGAGGCACAGTTTATGAGGATTTTTTTTTTAAGCATATCACCCCTAACAAAGTGGGAGTGCCCTTAGCACACAAGGGGTTTACAGAGAGTGAGAGCAAGAGTAAAGAGGGAGGGGTTTACAGAGAGCAAGAGTAAAGAGGGAGGGGTTTACAGAGAGCAAGAGTAAAGAGGGAGGGGTTTACAGAGAGCAAGAGTAAAGAGGGAGGGGTTTACAGAGAGCAAGAGTAAAGAGGGAAGGGTTTACAGAGAGCAAGAGTAAAGAGGGAGGGGTTTACAGAGAGCAAGAGTAAAGAGGGAGGGGTTTACAGAGAGCAAGAGTAAAGAGGGGAGGGTTTACAGAGAGCGAGAGTAAAGAGGGAGAGGTTTACAGAGAGGAGAGCAAGAGTAAAGAGGAGGGGTTTACAGAGAGCAAGAGTAAAGAGGGAGGGGTTTACAGAGAGTGAGAGCAAGAGTAAAGAGGGAGGGGTTTACAGAGAGTGAGAGCAAGAGTAAAGAGGGAGGGGTTTACAGAGAGTGAGAGCAAGAGTAAAGAGGGGTATTTGAGGAACGGATAAAGAGAAGGCCAGGGATCAAGATCAAGACATCAGAAGATGTCAATTGACATTACATTTGAATATTTGAAGATTATAGCTGTCAGGGAAGCAAGTAAGAAGAAAGGAGTTTCACTGTTGGGAAGTGCACGATAAGGAGCTATTGGAGTAGAAGAGATGGCTACATTTAACTGTTTTAACAGTGAAAGGGTATGACTGGACTGTCAACCTAGCAGCACACTTAAATTTATGCAGGGTACCAGTGAAAATAGTTTGTAAGAGCAGTTGCCATGAAAATATTTGTAGAAAAGACAGTAGGAAGCCACAGCATGTCTGTGAGAAAGTGACTGTAGACAAGATGCCAGATCATATGAGGGAAAGATAATGATTGACCCGAGACTTGAATAGGTTAAAATTTTAGTGATTGGGGAAGCACCCTCTTGGGAGTCAGTTTGATAGAGCAGCAGTTTGTGAGAAGCTGCATGGTTTGCTACAAAGAGTATGGCAGGTCTTAGCCATGAATGTTGGAATTGGTATCGAAAACATCCTTTTTTTTTAATCGTTTCACCCCAAGCAAGGCTGAAAGTGGTTGCAGAAAGTGAAAGAAAATGAGAAGACTTAAGTGAAGAGAAGCAAGGAGAAAGACAATAAAGAAACAGGGTTCAAGAAGACAGAAGATGGTGATTGATGTTGCATTTGAATTTTTGTAGGTTGTAGATGGTAGGGAAGCAAGAAATCAGGTGAGATATCCATAGGAGAAAAGAAACTATTCAACTTGAACTGACGGTTGAATTAAGCTAGTTCAACAGTAAGAGAGAGAGAGACCTAATTGGTAATCTAGTAGCACACTTGAATTCCTGCAGTCGAGTCATTAAGGAGAACAGCTCATTAGAACAATTGTGATGAAAATATTCATAGAAAAGACAAAGGGAAGCCACGTCACGTTGATGAAAAAATGATAGAAGTTGAGATACTAATTCCAAAGTACAAACCATCGAACTTAATGGTCAATTAAAAAGATGGACAATTTTGCTATTTTAGTACACATGTACGAAAATAGTTCCAAAAGTTTCTTTGTAGATACCATAAAATCTTAGATTTGGATACTGCCGATTCCTAGAGAAAGCTGATGGATTCTTCAGTGGCAGTCTTCAGTGACAAAGTTCCCTAATTTATTTCTGCAGATTGTTCACCCTGAATTTTCATCATCCTAAAAGGACACATGACCAGTTTTGGAAATCCTATGTTTAACCAAAACAATGTCCACCAATTTCAGGACTCTTGGTAGCAGATTTGCTGATCTTCATGCAAAATTTGCTGCTGCTTGAATTTCTTAACTGCCATATAGATCACAGAGCCATTTCAACAAAATGTGACAAAAATTAACCATATATGAGTAAATAGCATGAAACCTTTGACAGACTGACCTAGTCAGATGGATACTAATGAGTGTTACTTATATGGACATTTTGTTTGATTTGTTTGTTTGTTTGACGGCACATCAACACCTTAAAGGTAATTTAATACCAAAATTTAATTTTCTTCTGAGCTTTGAAGTAATACAAATATGATATATATTATTCTGCTTTCACAAATGAATCCTTGATAGATAATACTCAGCTTTTGTGCATATACATTGTGTGGACATAATTACTAGAGGCGGTGATATGTGTGTTTTATGTGGTTTTGTTGAAATTATATTTTGGAAGACAGTTTGAATAAATTGTAGGATATTATATGAATTAATGTTATGAAAGAGTTCTTTCATGTCGGTTGATTTTGTTTAGTGACATAGCATATTCAAAGAAATTTCATGATACCACCACCACCACCACCCTGTCTGGAAAAATTGTATTTTCGTTCATCTGTACTAAAATAGTTGGAGCTATTTTAGTGACACATTGAAATAGCAAATGTTGCCTTCCAAAAACTAAGCAAAGTATTAAGAAACAGGAAAATTTCATTAAAAACAAAGAAAATGGGTTATTTAATTCTGAAATCTAAATATTTTGAACATAATTTTATGGCTTCAATTGTTGTTTTTTTTTTTTTTTAAGTAAATCACCCCAAACAAGGTGAGAGTGCAACTAGCATACAAGGGGTTACAGAGAGTGAAAGTAAGAGTAAAGCGTGTTTGGGAAAAGAATAAAGATAAGGACAGGGATCAAGGTCAAGGCATTAGAAGATGTCAATTGACATTACATTTGAATATTTGAAGATTATAGCTGTCATGGAAGCAAGTGATAGGAAGGGAATTCCATTGATGGGAGGTGTGAGATAAGAAGCTATTGGAGTAGAAGAGGTGGTTACATTTAACTGTTTTGACAGGGAAAGGGTGGGACTGAGTAGCATGCTTAAATTCATGCAGTTTGGGAACCAGTGAAAGTAGCTCGTTGGAGCATTCGACATGGAAGTACTTGTAGAAAAGACAGAGGGAAGCATGTCTGTGAAATACTGACTGTAGACTGGATGCCAGATCAGGACCAATCACATTGGATACCCATCTCTGGATTTTGTCAAGGACCTTGAGATAAAGAACGGGTTCACCAGACCATATATGGCAGGAGTATTTCATGCCTTGTTGCTGTTGTTTTGCCTTCTTACTTTTGGTTTGCCTTATTACTGTTGCTTTGCTTTGCCTTATCAATGTTGCTTTGTCTTGTATATATTGTTTGCTTTCTTTATATTATCTTTTGGCCTGTTCTTTTCTTTCTCTGATTATTGTTTATTGCTAACTTTGTCACTTCTCTTTGTTGGGCATTTCTGCCAATTGAATTTAACGATGGCCAATTACTCTACAAAAATTGTTATGATGATTCCAATTTCCACACTGCTTTTCAAATTTAAAAAAAAAACAAAACACAACCTATACAAGAGAAATTAGCAAACAATAGATATGAGCTTACCATCACATTTTAAGCCTTGATGAATCAGCCCGTACAGTAACGATCCGCAGTGGTCACAGAATGTGGGGCTTCCATAAGAATGGATCTTAAACTTGTGGGACTTGGTTGCCTGGAAAAATAGAGATAATAAATAGAATAATAATAGATAAATAAAAAGGGTAAGGATGCTGAAAAAAAAATTTAAAAACAAAAAAATATTTTTCAATTTTCACAAAAATTTTTATTTCATGGTAAATTTTAAATAATCAAAATAATTAAATGAAAAATGAAATTTTCATTAATCAACTCATAAGCATATTGTTCACCAAATACAAGGCTCAAGACCAACTCAAGGTAGAGGGTTGTTGTAAGGTGGGGAGTAAGAGGTGTATTATATAAAGAGATTTAGTTAAAATAAATTTACTGTGTAAATTAAATTCCTTTTGGAAGTAATTACTGTATTTCCTTCATTATAAGACTCTCTGATATATTAGACTCCCTGCAGATTATAGGGAAAGAAATTGGAAAAAAGTTTTTTCTCTGTATTTCATAGCCCTTCCAACTATCCCCATTTTTAACCACTGAATAGAATATTTCAGCATGAAAACCTGACTAATCATGACAAATACATCACAGCCTGAGAAGACGTACCAAATTAATGGTGACTATTGAGAATGTAATAATTAGAAGAGAAATTCATAAGTGCATAATACGACTGAAACCTAACCTTATTGCTGCCTGAAATCCTCACTCATTGTGACGAATTAATCAAAAACCAAGATGGAGCACTAATTTTCATTTAGATACATGTAAATTTGGCTACAGAAATAAAGTCACATTTGATTTATGCATAGGTTAAAACATCTGATAGTGCTTACTGTACTGTTGGTTCTTTATACCGCTATTATAGCTTGAAATCCTCATTATCGGTAATCTTGATGAGTTTATTGCAAGCACTAAATTTATGATGTAAAATTTACTCAAAACTGTTGCGTTGTAAATAGGAAAAGTTGACACACATATGGAAAGTAAGAAGTAGTTTATTCTGGAGAATGATATGGTACACAGTTGAGACTAATGCAGTAAACAGTTAATCATTAACTCCTCTCCCTTAGAGATAGTGCTGTTTAAATTGCCTTAGACCAGTCCATCTAGTGGGGATGTTCAGCTACTCCACAACACAGACATCCATAAGAGGCATGGCATATGGAACTAGAACAATCTAAAAGGGTTCAGTTAGAAATTCCAATCATCTGAAAGAAACATTGTGAATATGGTAACAAAGAGGACAACAGTCTAAACAATTTAAATAGTGTAAATGTAAATAAATGCATAACAATGAGTAATTGTAATTATAAGTGTTGTGTTATAAATAGGAAAGGTTGACACACATAGAGAAAGTAAGAAGTAGTTTATTCTGAAGAATATTATGGTGCATGATTGAGAACAGATTAATGTAATAAACAGTTAATTATTAAATCCTTTCTCTCTCAGTAAGAGAGAGTGCTGTTTAAATAGTCTTAGACCAGTCCATCTTGTGGGGGTGTTCAGCTACTCCACAACAAAAACATTGTTAATTTAATTTTGAAACAATGGACTCGTTTTACTTTCAATGGCTCAGAATCAAATGTAACTGGGGAGCTGATGCTTACCCCACACCACAAATTTATAACTTCTATCACTGACCTTTGATTTATAGAATGAAGCGTGGGTTTTAGAGATTATTTTATAGGAAAAAAATTGTGTCTTATAAACAGAAAATTATGGTACCTGCTTGTAAATTGTTTTTAGAAAAACTTTTATGTTTCTAAGATCTGATTTGTCTCAATGTAATAATAGTAGGGCACATAATGGATTTATTTTTAAGATCACTCAGTATATGGTTTAAGAGCCAGTCAAGGTAGAGTGTTACTGAATGAGACATGTAATATGAATGTAAGAAGAAGTAAGAAATAAAGATCATGAGGATAAGGAGGAAAGAAAATGACTGATTTAAGTTAAAATTGAAGTCTTCAGTAAAGTGTACATGTGGAAGTCTTTTTTACAAAGGAGTTATTCTTGGGAAGAAGTTTTATGAGTGGAACTTCCTCCTTACAAATGGAAAAAAACACCATGAATGGCAACAGTTCAGTCGACATGCATGTAGATGTCAGTGTGTAATACTTCTGCTTTATCTTCAAGTGAGTAGAGTCTTAATTGTTTTTTTGCTTATAAATAATGTAAACTTCTCCAGTGTGTGATTTATTTCTTTGTGTGCATTACTGATGTCAGGTCAGTTCATGAATTAACATTTATGAAGAGATGTTTCTTCTGAGAAATTCAGGGGAGGTAAGAATTGAGACTTTCTCTTACTGTATTCAAGGGACATGGCATTTTCAAAGAAAAATGATCAAACATCTAATTATGAAAGTATGACATGACCAGACATGGATCATCCTTCATAAAGGACTCACCTTCCAATTCATTACCAACTGCAGTTTCAATTATTTCACCATAATACTTTTGTTTTTAAAATTTTTATTAAACTAAAACTACTTTGCAAAATATATTTGAAAAGAGTAATAAATAAACAAACTATAACAATAAGTTTTTGATATTATTTTGAAAATATATATAAAAAAAAATAATGAATTTAAATGCCAATTTAATAGACAGTTACACTAGAACCAAAACCTTTTTGATTCTAGTGTAAATATGGCTATGTCTATTAAACTGACATTTAAATTGATGATTGTTTTTTATATTTTCAAAATAATATCAATAACTTATTGTTATAGTTTGTTTATTTATCAATCTTTTCAAATATACAGGGTGTCCATAAAGTTCGTGTGCATTCTAAAAATTTATAACTTTATTTGTATTTGTGATAGAAATAATCTGTAAAAATGTTATAAAGTTTAATGTACCTAGTTTTAAGTATAGCTAAAATAACTAATGTGATTTCAGGCATTACTGTAAATCAGTTGGCAAATTCTTTCTTGTGAACTCCAAAATCGTATTACCCTTTGTATTGCTAATGATGGAGGACATGTGAAAACTTAGATAAAATTTCAATAAAACTTTAAAAAATATAGATTTACTTCTTTCTAATCCTTTCTACAAATTATTTCTATCGCAAATACAAATAAAGTTATAAATTTTTTTAAATGTGCACAAACTTTATGGATGCCCGGTATTTTACAAAATAGTTATAGTTTAATAAAAGTTTTAAAAACAAAAATATTGTTGATGGATAATTGAAACTTCAATTAGCAATGAATTGGAAGGTGAAGTCTTTATGAAGGGCAATCCATGGTTAGTGTGATCCTACCATACATCATTAGATATTTCATTAATTTTCTTTTTGAAAATCCTGTGTCCCACTATCAGAGGAAGTAGGAAATTTTCAATTCCTACTTCCTCTGAATTTCACAGGAGAAACATCTCTTAATTGTTAACTGATTTGACAAACAAATAAATCAAACACTAGAGTCATTTATATGATGTATAGGCAAAAAAACAACAACAAACAATTAAAACTCTACTCACTTGAAGATGAAGCAGAAAAAATATTCCATACATACACATCTACACGAGCACACATATAGACTGGGTTTTTGTCAGTTGTATGGTGGTGTTTTAACCCTAGAACACTAACCATCAATTAAAGTTTCACCACTACTAACCACGGGTATATCATACCCAATTTTCAAAATATCAAAAAAAAATATTAAATATAAATCTTTATTTGAAATATTTTACATGCAGGCACTTTAAACTTTGTACTTTGAGTTAACATTAATAGGAACTGAAAAAAATTATTTAGGTAAGAAAATCAGGTACTGAAAATTGTAATTAAAAATATGAAAATTTGCGCTGGGTACTATATACCCATGGTTAGTGTTCTAGGGTTAATGTCAGAAATATACTTTTTTCCATTGTAGGCCATATTGAATTTTTCCACTTTTGGTCGTTCACACTTCAACCACCCAGTGAGATACTTAAATTTTATCAGGGCATCATCATATATAGGTAAAGAAAGCTGACTTTTTACCTAATTTGCCTTTAAATTTAATCAAAGGTAACAAAAAAAAATACCTATATGTTTTGCTATATTTTAGATAAATAAGCTTTTTCTTTTTTTTATTAATATATATTGTTCTCCACAATATGAGGTAGCTATTATTGTTTTCCCTTGAGGCTAGAATGAATAATGAATAAGCCCTTTGAAAGATCACCATACAGTAACCATTTACTTTTTAGGGCAGTGGAGTTTTTGAGTATTTTTTTAGTGATTCACATGCATCTAACCACTGGCCTTCTCTCTTGCTGTTGTTGAAGATTAGCCATTTATCATCTCATGTAATAATTCGATGCATAAATGATTCTCTTTCCCCAGTTTGTACTCATACAATAAAATTACTTGACATTGTTTCATTGTAATCCTTTACACTGGGCTTATGAGTAAAATATATATTCAAAGAAAAATTATCTGGAAAGAAAAAGAGGCAGGAATAAGTCGAGATTTTTTATATACAGTGCAACCTGGATTCTCGAATGTCTCACATGTTGAACAAATGGGTTTTCAAACAGAAAATTAAAGATGAAAATGCCTCACTTATCAAACAAAATTTTGGTTCTTGGACAACATAGCTGAACTGAGTTAACCTGAATGGAATAATTTCTGAGTTGACTGCTGTGTTGCATACATTCATGTGTTGTGCTTTTCTTTTCTAATTTTATTGTACTGTGAATTTTTTCTCGACATTGTAAACTGAAACTATTTTTCCAATAGGAATCAAACATTTCAGGTTACAAATGGCCCTCAGGAATGAATTAAATTCATGAACTGAGGTTCCACTGTGCTTTGTTAGATGTCCAGATCAACAACCAACCAAAAAATGTGTCATTTTATGTGTGACAACCTAACAGTAGACATGCATTGTTGCCTTTTTGGTATGTCCACATATATATAGATAGATAGATAGATAGATAGATAGATAGATAGATAGATAGATAGATAGATTTCGAGCTGACTTTGCACAATAGTTAAGCATATATACCATCTCTTTTTTTTGTTAATGACTAATTGCTTGACCTGTACACAAAGACTGTTTCTACTGTTGATGTCAGGCTTTTAGTCCTTTTGGATTTACATATGGTATTCATTTTTGACAGTGCTCTCCAAACCACTGCAGTTCTAATATCTATATCAATATGGATTGTTTTTCTGTCACTTAAAAGTGAAATCCAAGCTTGCTTAATTATTTTCTGTTTACATCTGAACGAACTAATCTATTTCAAAATCATTGTGTGTATTCAACAAAGCAGCCAATTCTTAGCAAGCCTAAAGAATACTTAATTACCTTTAAAAATGTTTGTCCTTCTAATCTCTTGTGATTACAATTCACTTAATGAGCCGTATTCTTAGATATAATTTCCTTCAGGCTAAATGTACTTTGATATAATTGAATCACTACATGAAAGAAACACTTCCAGTTGAGTTTTTTTTTTCTCATTTTACAAAGAGAAAAAAAAAATAATTTCTCAGAAAATTTCTCATTTGCAACCAAAAGTCTTTGATTCCAGAGTTTCTTTTACTCAAGAATATCCATCTCTGCTTGTTAGTTCCGTCCAATTAAGACCATTACTCAAGTTTCTTCTGTCAGGTTATTTTTTTTTGTTTTGCTCAAAGGTCATAAACTGCCATAGGTGGCAGCAAATATAAAAATGAACTCAACCAGAAAGATTGGTATCACATATGATATATATATATACATTAAAAAGGAGGCTTACAGCCATATCATGTTGAAACATTGGTTCCTGTATGATCACCAAAATTAACCTTTAGCATACTGCATTATTAATATCATTTCCCTTTCCATTACATTCTTTTTCAAAGCCTTTCAATTGCATTATCCTTAGTTAATTTCACTCAAAGTTGTTTTCTGTTACCATAGAAGGATATGACAACACAACTATAAAATTCAAACACACTATTGTTCAGGGATCAGAGTCGCCGTCAGTGGCAGAATAAACTTTTGTACAGCAAATGAAGTTCCATATAGAGTGATAATGGTTAAGCAATGTCGAGCCTGGTCAGTATGAGCAAAAGAGATAGGGGAAGGCACTATTTTGTGAACATATGGTGGAATGAGAAGTGGTAACCTTGGGAAAGGGAGGAAAAATGCTAAAGGCCACAAGGGATAGGATGAATATGAAAGGTATGAATCCCCCTCTCCTCCCCCAGGTATGGATTAATTAGTAATACGTTGCCTTTTTTTTTTAATCATTGCACCCTAAGAAAAGTGGGAATGCCGCTAGTACACAGGGGTTACAGAGAGTGAAAGTGAAAGAGAAGACTAAAAATAGGAAGGATTAAGGAAAGGATAGAAGATGAATGGAATTCAAGAAGATGGCAATTGATATTGCATTTAAATTTTTGAAGATAGTAGTTATAAGGGAAACAAATGGAAGGGAGTTTCACAGGTGGGAAGTGCAAGAAAAGAAATTGTTGGAGTAGAAGTGGTAGTTGTATTTAGCTATTTAAACAGTAAAAGTGTGGGACCTTGATACCAATCTAGTAGCATACTTAATCACTAAAGCATTATTCTCTAAAAAAATTCTTACAATTTTAAAATATTTCTGGCTTTAAAAATTCTGCAATGGGTTGATAAGCCATAAAAAAATGAAGGAATCAATCAAAAATGTCAAGTAGATAACCCACTGCTTTCTCTTGCTTCTTTTGAAAATGAACATGCACCAAAAAAAAAGAAAGCGGAACTTAGAGACTAAATATAAAAAGATAAGCAGGAACTGTAGCATCCACATAACTTTTACATATTATGCACTAAAAAAAAAAAAAAAAGCTAAAATTCTTATATTTCACATATATTCAGCAAATATCATTGAAATTCAATTGAGAATTTAATGCCACTGCCTTGTATCATTTTCTGATACTCTTGGCATGGGCGTAGCACCATCTCTCATAAGTATTTCAGTTATTTTTAACTTGAAGAAAAGCCATTTTACATACGTTAAAAACTAAGAAAATCTTTTATAAAAAATGTCTAACAGACATCAATTTAATCAGATGCCTTCTGGGTTTTTTTTCCATATATTGTGACCATTTTGTTTAAAGTTAATATTTTCTTTATTTCAGATAAAAACTGGGAACATTTCCAACAAATTTCAGTGAAATTTTCATTCTCCAAAATTATAATTTAGATACTTTTCATCTGAATTTCTGGTAAGCAGAGTTATCATTATTTACACTATTTATATTTGAACTATTGTCGCCATCTTTGTTATCTGTATTTCTGAGATGAGGTATTATGTACATTATTTACATTATTCGGACTATTATCCTCATCTTTGTCGACATATTTATTACAATGTTTCAGCCGTTGTATGCTCCGGCCTTCTTCAGGTGGTTGGAATGTCGAACTGAACCCTTTATTTCGCTCACTGGGGTAGACTGTTCTAGTTCCACGTGCTATGTTTAATGGATGTCAGTTATCAGTTATCTCCTGTTAATTCCCCTCTGAAAGTTCTCCACTGCCTTAATGTTAAATGTAATAAATATGGCGACAAAGATGAGGACAATCATCCGAATAATGTAAATAATGCTCATCTTTGTTGTTGTTAAAACCACATTTTGGCCATTATGCCCTTCTTGCTTTTCTCAGGTGTATATCATTCAGGGTAACTGACAGGGAATTCTGAACTGAACCCTTTATTTAATCATCTCCAGGTTTAGACTGTTCTTGTTCCACTGCACTTCTAGATATTATTTCATTTAATAAATTATTGCTTGCCCATTTTCACTGAGTACAAGTACAAACTGCTCAACCCAAGGATTGAACTCGCAATCCTGATTCTCACCAAATTCACAAACCAATGCTTTTACCCTCTAGACCATTGTGAACAGTATTAAATAAAAGTAAAGAGTTATCCTAAAGTTTCTACAAAATGAATGCAATCCTTACCAAAGAATAAATTTAATCTCATATTTTGTGTCTTTGATGTAATTCACTTCAGTATGAATTTTCTTTGGATTGATAGGGGAGTGGCTTCCTGTTGCCTTCTTCATGGTGATTTTATTGAGACACTACCTCTAGATAGCTAGCTGTTCTTTGGTAGTTTGTATTATTTATCATACAGAGTTGCCTCACTCACAAGAAATTTGTGTGGAGGTGTTGATTTCAATGTTCACTTTTACATTTATATACACTATCACTGATATTGAGCACTTTATCCCATAAATATAGCAAACTTTAAAACTATATTCCTTTATTTATATATATATATATATATATATAAAGTCAGTCACTGTGTGTGTTTCTAAAAATAAATACACTAAAATTCACCTTCATCCCTCCGTGCACCGACGGCTTAGTGGTAGAATCTCCGACTGACACCAATTCAGTCGGGTTTCGATCCTAGCTAGAGGCAACCGGATGTCTAGCCACACTGATGAGCTGTGAAACAGCGAAACAGTCTGTCTGTGGATGACCTTATATATATATATATATATACAAAATTTTGAAACTGCTAGGTCTGACAAAGCGAAATCGAATTTTAGCAGTCTTGTGAAATAAAATATTACCATGGCTTTCTGAAGTCTCTGATTTGTTAATTAATCATTACTTGCTCTGTTTATTACATTGAGCCCTCAGGATTTATACTTCTCTGGAATTATCCATGTGGATTACCAATTAACTTTATCTTATGATATATATATATAAGATTTAAGAAACACCAGATATTTTATACATAGATATTTTATGTATATGGTGCTCAATATTAGAAATATTAAAATAGAATGTTAACAATATTATATGAAAAGATTAGTTAATTTTTGAATGTGAATTTTATCCAGACTTCGAAGTTTCTTGTTAAAATATCCAGTCATGAAAAAATTATAAATACAATTTAAAACCACAACCCCTGAAGACTGGAAATTTTACCAAGTCAGGATAAAATTAATATTTAAAACTTAAGTAACCTTCTCATATAATATTTTTATATATATATATATATATATATATATATATATATATATATGTGGTGGAGAGAGAGAAAAAGTTTTTGTGACACGTTTCATTCATTCAGACTTCATTTGATGAAATTCGTCACAAAAAAAACTTTTTTCCAATTTGTCATACAATTTTCTGAATACTGTTTTTGATATATAAAAGTATATAGTTATACAATTACCTCATTATATATATATATATATATATATATATATATATATATATATATATATATATGAATTGAGAGTGAATACTTGAATGAAAACCAAATATGTAGCCTTGGCGAAAGCACATACTATACATTTAAGGAAAGGATCATTCACATTGATTCAATGATCCTACAGTTAACTCCATATATATATATATATATATATATATATATATATATATATATATGTATGTCGTATTTATATATTTCTTGCCTGCCTCTCACGATCTTGTCTAGGAGTATATTTCAAACTACATTTTACCATGATTAAAATTCCACCTTTTTTAGCATAGGTATGACTACCTAATTGGTTAATCAGGATAAACCCACAAGCCTCATTTTAATTTTTTTTGTTGTTATCTGATTTTGAAAATTAAAAACATTTTTTTTTTTACTCACCAGTTATTTACTATTGCTTGAGGAAGCACATTTTGAGTGCTGAAACATGAAAGCTATTGTGTAGTAATTTTTAACATGTTTTCATTTTAATCTCATATAATAAATAATATTAAGCTCTACTCTGTATTGAGCCCTTTTTTGCTACAGATAGTGGAATTATACTCCATTTATTCTTATCTCATATCTCTCTCTCTCTCTCTATATATATATATATATATATATACTCACCATTTGGTTTCAAGTGAAAAGATGAAAATTTTCATAGTTGATGTCAGAAACTTGAATTTAAAAATAAAAATTTGCATTCAAATTTTATTTTCCCCGAACCCTTACGTCTCATGCAAGAATAGTAGGTAGTGAGGGTCGGGGAACATTTATAAATGTAAATTTATACAAAACATAGGACCCTTATATTTATCAGAAAGAGACAGTTGAAATTAATGAGGAAAGAGGACTTTCTAAAAATCTAAAAATATTTTCTGGCTTTAAATAACCTGTAAAAGGTTGATAAGCCATAAAAAAACAAAATCAATCAATCTAAAGGTATAAATGGGGAGTGAAGGCACCAAAAACCTAAAAAAAATTGTCTACAAGCCATATATTAAAAGAAAAAACTTTTCAGTATGTGTTACGGTAATTTACCCATGCATGCATGCATGGACTTTCCTAGTTATAAATAGGAGCATGTATTGCCTTTTTTAGAGGGAAGTTTCCAGCAGTCAGCTCTGACACACCGAACATTCTCGCTGTAACACTCTTGTTCGTATATGTTTGTATTACTGTTTCTGTTAATATATTTGTTTAATTCAATTCCTCTCGTGTCTTTATTTCTAGCCCTAACAAAGCCACAACAGTATGTAATAACTGACAGAGTTTATATGCCGTTAAAATGAATGAATGAATTAATCAATCAACATATATACAAGCTTTGCCAAAAATAAATATCTACATATAGTTTTCTATTCTGATGATTACAATGCTATTTTAAAAGACTAATAGAACTTAATAGAATGTAACTCTTTTAAAAATGGCCTCAGGATTGATATTATGAAAAGGCAGACAAGGCCTGATGCGACCATTGCTAAATTTAAACCATACAAAGAAAAGAAACATTTAAGCAGCCTGGAAAAAAAAAAAGATAGCTAGGTCATTTTGAATAGTCAGTAGAGCAAGACATTTTAAGAATTACTGGTCAAAATTGTTCCAAAGATTACTTTTGGATTTAGGCATTGAAAAATGAAAAGACATATAAATGAATTCTTATTATCATAGATATTTACTTGTGGAGTCATGAAAGCAAAATAAGTCATTTACACTCCATCCAATGGGATCAACAGGTCATTTGCAATTATTCCAATTTAGTGTTTTAACTGAGGACAGAAAATATGACATCTTAATGCACATTGGAATAGCAAAAGATGTCTTCCAAAAGCTAAGCTAAGCAAAGCATTAAGGAACAGAAAAATTTTATTAGAAACAAAGAAAAGTGTATGGAACAGTTATGTAATATCAGTCCTTCTATATAGCAGTAAGGGATGGATAATCTCCTTAAAGCTGAAGAGACTTGATGCAACAGAAATGTGGTTCTACAGAAGGATACTGAGAATACTATGGGCAGAACATGTGAGCAACAACAAAGCTTTAGAGAAAATAGAAACAAAACAGTTATACTTAGCATCAGGGAAAGATAAGTGAAATTTATAGGGCACATCATGAGGAAAGAGGGCTTGGAAAATTTGATACTCACAGGATATATTGAAGGCGAGAAAGACACAAGAAAGCAGTGCATAACCGACCTAGTAAGCTTGAGTAAATAGATGGTGGAACAAGGTTTAGGAGAGATAACAAAAAGACAAAATTTATTAAGAGCAACAAAAGATGGGAAAATGTGGAAAGCCATGATTGCCCATGTCCTGTAGATGCACAGCAGGAAAAAGAAGTTATTCACTAAATAATAATGATACATTACAAATATTTTTATATAACTCCTAAATTTATATATCTACTCAATGAATTAAAATGGTTTAGTAGAATTGTTTCATATATCCCCCAAATTTATACCTCTACCCAATGAATTATAATGATTCAGTGGAATTGTTTTGTATATCCATATCTCCCAAATTTATACATCTACTCAATGAATTATAATTATTCAGTAGAATTGTTTTATATATCTCCCAAATTTATACCTCTACCCAATGAATTATAATGGTTCAGTAGAATTGTTTTATATATCCATATCCCCAAAATTTATACATCTACCCAATGAATTATAATGATTCAATAAGATTGATTTATATATCCCCCAAATTTATGTTCTGCTATAAAAAGACTTGGATATCAGGGATGCTCTAAAGATATATTTTTCATATATTGTTCAGTATCTGTCTGAAGGAAATTCGTAGCAGATCTTCATATTAATTACTAACACTTTAGAAACGTAATTCAATTAAAGGAATAATAACTTTTAGAGTATTTTTCTTATTTAATATTTATTCTTTGCTTTAATAATATGGAAGAGAGAAATAGAAAGTAGAAATTCAAAGAGAAAAAATAAATGGTTGGAACAGAAGTAAATGAAGCAGACATAATTATTATCATTATCTTCATAATTATCAAATTAAAAAAATATATCACTGGTAATGGATTTGAAAAATGACAAGCACTTTTTATTACTGATACAAAAGGATGCTACCTCAGTTGTACAAATTTATCTGCATGAGATGATAAGGATAATGGAGGCAAGTGACAAACATTCTTTCTTTAAATATAAAATAAAAAAAGCTTCTTTTTCTTCTTCTATGTGTTGTGTACCATCAGGTTGTAGATAATGATAATTGTTATAAAATAAAATAAGACATATCTCGGTTGATTTACAGGCAAATAGACTAACATACTCAAGAGCGAGTGCCGGATGTGAACGGGACAAGGCCTCACCACAAAATGACCATTATCTTCGTTTACGCATGTTCCTGACGTACGAGTTCCGGTCGAAAAATAAAATAATATTTTAAAGTGTTTCTATTTTTCGACCAATAAAAATGCTTCCCTCCAAATTATACTCGCGTCGTTTTTCGAGCCTGTTAAGCCATAAAAAAACACCATAAAAGGGGTCACAGGGAAGTACAACGGGCAGTCAACAGGAGGCCAGGGAAGAGACCTGTCAAGGTCAGGCTGAGCAGCAGCGCTACGCCAACCAGCGAGAACAACTATGATAGATCAACCTAGATCTTCAGCCGGCCTATAAACTATACCACAAGGTAGCTGTCCCAAACCCACACGTTCCTGTTGAAATAAATCCCGTAAATCTATTTCTGCTGTTGCCGTATTTCTTTCTTGCAACCATACGCTTGTCTATAACATATTTTTGCTTTCTTTTAATCCTCTCACCCCCAGCAAGGCAATAAAGCCACTAAGATGCAAAGGTTTACTAAGTTCACAATAAGAGAAAAAGAAAAACATTATTAAGGAGAGAGAACAATAAAAGAAGAGGAATTAAGAAGACAGAAGATAATGATTTACACTGCATTTAAATTTTTGAAGATCAAAGTTGATAGGAAAGCAAGAAGGCAGACGAGTTCTACTGTTACAGAATACTGATAAAATATACTGGAACATTATGATAATTACTAAGAAGATAAAAGAAAAATACAGAAAAAAAATGTTGTCAGTCCTGACCTAGCTTCTTGACCTCAGTGACAGGATATCTGTCTTTTCTATAAATATTTTCCTACCATTTATTCTAATGAGCTCTTCTTGGTATCTTGATTACATGAATTTAAGCATACCACTAGATTGGTAAATAGGTTTCATCATTTTACTAACTAACTAGATATAACCCTAATTTCTATCCTAATAGTTTCTTTACTTGCATTTCTCACCTGTGGAAACCTCTTCCGATTGCTTCTTGCTTTGCTGCCATCTATGTTCTTCAAAAACTTAAATGCAACATCAGTCACCATTTTCCATCTTCCTAAATCCTGTTCTTTTTATTATCTTTCTTCTCTAAAAGTCTTCTAATCTTTTCCACTCCCAGTAACTCTTTGCATCTTAGTGATATTATTGCTTTGCCTGAGGTGAAATCGTTAAAAAAAAAAAAATGACTTCCCTTAAACATCGGAAACAAAGAAAAAAGTGATGAACCGTTATGTAATATCAATCCTCCCATATAGCAGTGAATTCTGGACAATTTCTTCAAAGACTGCAGGCAACAGAAATGTGGTTCTACAGAAGGATGTTGGGAATACTATGGATGGTGTACACAAAAAAAGATACACTATTTACATTATTCAGACTATTGTCCTCATCTTTGTTGTCATATTTATTACATTTTGGCTGTTGTATGCTCTGGCCTTCTTCAGGTGGTTGGAATGTCGAACTGAACCCTTTATTTCGTTCACTGGGTTAGACTGTTCTAGTTCCACGTGCCATGTCTAATGGATGTCAGTTAACAGTTATCTCCTGTTAATTCCCCTCTCCAAGTTCTCCACAGCATTAACCGGGTATTGAACTCACACTCTTTGGGTCCTGTCACTGGTTCTATTTAACGCCTTTATCCACTGTGTCATGTGTACTTGAGGAAAGTGGATACAATACCTGGTTAAGGCAGTGGAGAACTTGGAGAGGGAAATTAATAGGAGATAACTGATATCCATTAAACATGGCATGTGGAACTAGAACAGTCTACCCCAGTGAGAGAAATAAAGGGTTCAGTTCAACATTCCAAGCACCTGAAGAAGGCTGGAGCATACAACAGCTGATACGCTGTAATACATATGGCGACAAAGATGAGGACAATAGTCCGAATAATGTAAATAGTGTACATAATACCTCATCTCAGAAATATAGACAGATACAAAAAAAGATCCAATTTTATTTTCTCTTCTTAAGCACTCACTACAGATACAAAAGTGTTAGGTAGGTGATCATGGCTTCCCACAACTTCCTATACTTTGTAGCTTTAAATAGTATTTGTCTTTTTACTATCCTTCCTAGTCCCTGTTATGCTAACAATTAAAACAAGTGTTAGGAAGTGACATTCTCAGTCATTCTCTTTTTAGAACTCCAGATGTAGTCACAGATGTCCAAAAAAGTGTTCCCCACTAGAGAACGTTCACTTCACTTTCAATACATTATTTTCCTCTCTTACTTCTCCTACACACATTTCATAAAGCAAAAATTAAACAGCACTGTTTCTCCTTAGCTTAACAGATAAAGATGTGAAATAATTTCAAGTTGACCCACTGACCTTTTTCCTCTTCAAAGATATGAACAGATATCTGTAAGTACGATTTAATAATACACGGAAATAGCTGCATCTCTGAGAAAAATCAACAATAATACCAGATATCTTTAAAAGTTCTCACAAAACATGCATTTGACACTCAGTGACAATTTCACCAGCATCAGCTCAGCAACTTTACAAAACAAAGCTTCTTCTACTAAAGTTTTGTGTAACAAGATCATCCACGTACAGCCAAACAAACAAGGCCTTCCAAACAAAATTCAATGTGGAGTATTGGAAAACAACAAAATTTTAATACCAACCACTGATCTCTCTCTTTCTACTTTCTCTATATATCTTCCAGAGTGTACTACATAGAAAATGTAGTACTACTAGAAAATTATACAGCACCCTGATGGCACTACTTCAGGCAAGTACATGTTTGTCGACATGTTTAAACACACCCATCTCAACCACACTATTTGATTATTTCTTTTCAGCCTATGAGGGACAAAATATACACAAATTTTATGGAAATATAGGCAAAATAAAATTCTCCCCATCGGAAGAGGAGTCTTGTGGGTTACTCCACTTGACTTTACTAAAAAAAAAAAAAAAAAAAAATATTGCTAGGAGACGCTCCTTAAGCTGATGAATAGACAATGATATTCTCATCTATTCTCTTTTCCCTCTTTTTACAACTCCAGCTGTGAGATGTACTCACATAAAATTTGCATGTTAAGTGGAATGAGGCATATTAGTTCGCAAAGTGACCACTTGGCGGCGGTGATGGGCTTTTCACTTGTAAACAAAGATGGGTGTACAGTATATAATGTATGTTACATTAGTGTATGCATAAAAAAGTAGCTATGAGGAATCTATTATTTTTGTTATTTTGATTAATATATCTATATTATATATATATATATATATATATATATATATATATATATATATATATATATATATGCCATATATACATGTTTATAGTATTTACATTATGGTCATAACTACTGGCAGTTACTATAGTGGATTTATAACTCAAAAATAATCCCTTCCCATCTATGGACAACTGGCTTTAACGGA